ACTCTTTTATTTTTTATTCAAAAATTATGAAAAAATTCACAAAAATACTTTGAATTATTTCTGATCTCGTGATTATTTTTTCACATTTTTATTTTGACATTTGATATTTTTAATATTTTTTTGTATTATTTGCTTCCTTTTAATTGCTTAAAAATATTTTCTGAAATTTTTTAATTCTAAAAAAATTCATAAATATCATTTTACATATCTCTGACTTTTTGAAAATTATATGGAATTTTATATTGATATTTACTATTTTTGATATATTTTCTATTTATTTGAGCAATTTTAATTAGGTTAAAAATATTTTCTGACTTTAAAAAATTACCAATATTTTTACAAAAATATTTGAGTTCATTTATGATTTTTTCTATGGTCTTACTTATTATTTCTTGATTAATTTTAAAATGGTTGATATTTTTCTCTTTTATTTTCTATTTTAAAACATTTTAAAACCCTTTTTAATGTATATAATAAATGTATTATTATTTTGTGATTATTTTCTAGCTGATCTTTGGTTGAATTTTTGATCATGAACTTTGTTAACATCATTGGATCCATGGTGTTTTGTTTAACTCCATAAAAATGGATGAATGATTTTAATAATAGTTTGATTAAAATTTAATTTAAATGTGGTTTGTATATTTTCTCCCACCCTTCTTCATCTCATCCTTTTATTATTGCACTAAGTGTTATTGGAGCATGATCTTTATGTCATGTCTTAAAACAAATGGTGCATGATTACTATTGACCAGCCTCAAAATAGGTGCGACTTCTATATAAGTCCACTTACGATTTCTTAACATAGCGCTAAATATTATCCCGATTCGAATAAATGATCATTCGTGGCCAAAACTTATGTTTACAAGCCCAAGTATGTTAATTTGATCTCTTTGATCCAATAACCTTGAGATTCATTGTGTGGAGGCTTTGGTTCTACCAATCCTCTAATGGATCTACAACACTTTTGGTCAACATGGATCACTTAAACATCGTTGATCATTAAATGGTACTTTTGAGAATTCCAAATGGATGATATACTTGACAAAAAGCAAATGCAACTTGTTGTCTGGAGGCTTTGGTTCAACCAATCCTCTAATGAGTTCCAAATGTAAGTTTCAAGATGGTCATCCAACTAACCACTAATTATTAAATTGTTTTTACTTTATGCTTTTATTTTTATGCTTTATGTACCATTTACTTTAAGTATTACATTTCACGCCATTTTTATTTTGCTCACTTGAGCATTTATATTATTGTCATTTTTATTTTGCTCACTTGAGCTTTTCTTTTCTTTTTCAAGACATTTAATAATCAACATGAACCCTAAAAAAGGCTTTAATGATACTTGGACTATTTGGTTACTATCCTTGGCATTATGGAGTATTGGACTTCTTGGACTTAGGATTAGAAACCTTGACCTATATTGGAGACCTTGTGACCTTAATTGATATTTTATCTGTAGTTCTTGAGGTTTACCTCAAGACATTGGGTTGTTTGTTTGTTTTGTGTGCAGGTTATTGTAGTTACATACTTTGTTTGTAATTTGGAATTCACCTGTATACAACCGTTACTCTGCCCAATTTTTGTGAAGACTTAATACATTCAAAGTTCGGTTCTCTCAAGAGGTCTAGTATCTCTGCTTGCTTGGTTTCAATCCAAAGAATGGGAATTCTATCTCGAATCATAATGTCAAGTATTGGCTTCTTGTTGGTTAGATGGTTCTTATCCCTAGATTTCACCTTATGCTTCAGGATAGTCCCTTCTTCTCCTCCCATCTTCTTTAATTTCAAAAATCCTCTCTCTCCTTTTGAAAACTCTTGTTGTTTTGAAACTTGAACCATTTCCATAACAAACTTGGACTTATGTCCATTCATTTTCAAAACATTTTCATAAATAAACTTCAATCAACTTAATAATACTTTGGCATTTTTTGTGAGAAGACTAAAAATCAATCAATCTTATTTCAAACCATCTTGCCACTTTGGCTTTTTATTTTAAAACTTTTCTAAAAAATATTAGACTCTTGTCAATCCTTGTAGTGATGCAAACAACTATACTTCTATAATATGTAGTGAAGAGAGATATTTTCCACTTAGGTGTTGAGTGAGGAATTGTTGATTTTAAAATCCAATCCATATCCTCCACTTTGAGATGATGCAAATTCTCCTTTCTCATGATTGTGGGTAGTAAGTATGTTTTCCACACGGACAATGACAATAATGCCTTATCTCATAAAATTAACCAACACACTTGTGTTTTAAATTTTTTAAAAGAGGAACTACGTGTACCCTGATCCCCTATTTCACGAAAGGTGGTACGCAGACACTAAAGGTTCACAACTGCGGCGGGTGCAGAAATCATAAAAAAAATACTTCTTTTCTCACCTCCACCATCTATTTTTTATACAATATTTTATAGCCAAAATATATTGATTTTTTAAAGAGGTTCATGCGGAGTACTGCAAATGTTTAGGGTGCTAATACATTCCCTTTTCATAACCAACCCCCTTAACTAGAATCTTTCCCCCTCTTTTTGGGTTACTCGCTCTTTTCCCATTCTTTTGGAGACAATAAAGCGCGGTGGTGATTTTTATTTTGATCTGTACAAGTCTAGTCAATCCAATGGCTTAGTCTTAAACATTTCTACCACTATAGAAAAAATGGTGACTTCACTAGGGAAAGATTGACCTCTTGCTGGTCCATCCCTAAGTGGGTTAAACCTATCTTTGTTTATATATGTATATGTGCTATTGTTGTTTATATGTTATATGTTGTATATATGCTTGCCTGTATTTTTCTGGTTTTCAGGGTGCTTGGTGATTTCACATAAGTCCTATACCCGGACTTTGGAAAACTGTAATATAGGACGGGCGGTATATTCATGTTAACTTTGAGGGAGTAATTCGAAAAAACGAGGCATGAGATCCCCCACTCAGTGGAGGCCCCTTTGACTGTAGTGTCGTTTACCGAGTAATCGGGAAGATGTACTGCTTTCAACCTAGGAGCCTGCTGAAGCTGAGTGTTAGAACATAGTTTGATTCTACAAGCCTCATAAGAGTTTTGATGATAACAAACACAAATAATAAATATGCACTCTAAATTTGTGTTCTATGTTGTACAAAAGTTCTTACTGAAATGGCATCAGAAGTTAAGCCACAAAAGCACTCAAGCTGAGTAATCAGAATGTTCTGAAGTATGATGATCAAAATCTACGCTAAAGAGAGAGATATCCTGATTCTGAATGGAAGTCCAAAATTCTAATAGAACCTTATGCTTTTGACTTCCCAAGTTCTAAAGTAAAGCAGCATGCAAGATTCCTAAGTTCTGAAGTGTTACTTTTCCATTAAGGAAATATCATTTACAACGGCTACAATCAGACAAGGATCTTCTCAGTATGGAAAGAGCATTAAGTGCCCATTATCATGTTTCCATTCGGACAGACTGCCACGCCTATATAAACAATCTCAAAGGATAAGTCGTTTATGATTTTACATAACTTCTCCATACAATCTCAAAAAGCTGCAAAATTTATATTCATACTACTCCAAATTTTGTGTAATACATCACAGTAGTGATACAGTTTTTGTAACGAAAAACAAATAGTACACAATGAACACTTTCTTTTGATTAAGTGAATTTCCTTGAGATATACCGGATTATGGTTGTACTCAAGAAGACTTTGGCAGTTGTCGAAGTAGAAGTGTAATCAGTTTGATTAGTGAATTAAGTCCTCATTGGAGAGAGGCAAAATCACCTTGGCGGGTAGACTGGAGTAGTTTGAGATCAAGCGAACCAGGATAAAAATCATCGTGTCTATTGCTTTTGATTTTTAAGTTTCAATTCAACCCCCCTTCTTGTGTTTTTCACTTCTTCAATTGGTATTAGAGGGCCTGGTTCTGAGTTCATACACTTAACCGTGTCAGTACAAGATCCAAGCTTTAGAAAAACACTATGGTGGGACCAAGCCAAAACATCATTAATGACTATCATGACGATAAAGAAAGAATTAGCGGCAAACCTCCAGTCTTTGATGGAGAAAATTTTGACTATTGGAAAGATAGAATTGAGAGCTTATTTCTGGATCATGATGCTGACTTATGGGATATGGTAATTGATGGATACATGCATCCAGTGGATGAAAGTGGTTAGAAGATATATAGAAAAAGAATGTCTGACCAACAAAAGCGTGACTTCAGAAACCATCATAAGGCCAGAACAATTCTTCTCAGTGCCATCTCATATTCAGAGTATGAGAAGATCTCAAACAGAGAGACAGCCAAAAACATGTTTAACTCTCTGAGAATGACGCATGAAGGCAACATACAAGTTAAAGAAACCAAGGCCCTTGCGCTCATTCAGAAATACAAAGCCTTCAAGATGGAAGAAAGTGAATCCATAGAAGCAATGTTTTTAAGATTCTAGATTCTAGTTGTTGGACTGAGAGTTCTTGACAAAGGGTACTCTACTGCTGATCACGTAAAGAAGATTATCAGAAGTCTACCTATGGGTGGACATCGGCCGGTTTGGGCTGGATTTGGACTCAATATGTCAAACCATGCAAAACCATGGATTCAAATATTAGGCCCAATTCCGACCAAAGTTGTAATCGGTTTGATCGGATTCGGTTTAATCGGTTTATCGGTTAAAATGGATCGGTTTATTCGGTTAATTAATATTAAATTGTCATAAATTTTTTAATTATATCTTAATTTTTTTAATTAAAACAATATTAAATAATAAATTTAAAGCAATAATAAAAATAATAAATGATCCAATTTAACACTATTTTACATTCTAATTTACACTGTCTTCAAATATGAGAAGGCTTCAAATATTATATCAAAATAATACATTCAATTTTGGACATAAAGTCTATAAGGTAGTTTTTGTAGATGCCAACATTAAAAGAAAGCTTAAAATACACTATGAATACTTAAATTACATTCATCCTTCATATATAAATTAACATTAAAAGCCAACATGATGACACAACCAACACTAATTATAATTTTTGTTCACCATCATATTTCCAGCACTTAAACACCCACTGTAAGCTGCAAGAGAAGAGAAGTGTTCCACTGTAAGCTGCAAGAGAAGAGAAGTGTTATTTTAGAAATAATATATTTCAAAGCTTTTGCTTCTAAACAAAATTATGCATGACCTTTCAAGTAAATTTTTTGCATACCAGAATGGGAGCTGTTGTTCCAAGGATGGAGCAATGAACTCTAGCTATTCGGTGCCTGAATCTGCCAAAATACTCGAACCCTTGGAAAAATGAAGACAAAAAGGAATTAGAAACTTTAACAAAGGAGCTCAACTATCCGCAATAGTTTGAGTTTCCTTTTTCTGTAAAGTAATTGCTATACTATTGTGCTTCACCTTGTACTACCAGATTATTCAGTAATATAAGTAGCATACAGAAGATAGGCACCTAGTCATGCACTAGACTGATATAGATAGGCAATTATTTGGCCCAATAGAAACATGCAGTGAATGTGATGCAGCTAGTTGGACAAATACTACATTGAGAAATTTACAATTGGTATTGATTTAACCCAATTTCCACCCTTAATATGGGATCAAAGTAAGTCGGCAACAGTTGTACAAGAAAGATTGCATTGTTATCAATATAGAAAAAAAAGTGAAATTAGTAAAATTGTATGAAAGGCCTTACTTCTACAATGCATGAAGAGGGACCTTTTGGAAAGAATCGTACAACGCCTCTGCCAAATGAGAAATTGAGATTAGATTAAGACCAGTGCTAAGTATGCTTATGCAGAATGTGCTTTCTAGCCACTAAATGGCTTGAAGAAAGATGCAGCCAGGAATTCCTTAATCATGGTTGAAGAATTACATTTTGCAAACATTGCTAGAATCAGCTATAGATTTCTAGTCCAAGCACAGGTGTTAGGGACAACACATTTCACTGCTATAAGGTTAAAGGCCTTTAATTTCATCAAGACAAGAGATTCTGCAGTATTTACATTTTGTATATCTTCTATCCCTTATTCTCTTCGCCTACACATAACATTACAAACCACAAAAAACATCACACACTCTTTCTACATTACATATCTTGTTTTTATCGAAAGCAAACAGTATGTACTAAAAAAATAGGAGCATGTGTTTTTCATATATCGCACTATTAACAATGGCACATCATCATCATCACTCATGACAAAATACTATTGCAGAAAAAATATTTATTACTATTAAGTTACCTTTCTAACTGGTTTCTTATGATCAACCACATAAAGATCAGTTTCACCGGACGGAGAACTGTAATGAATCAAACCAGCTTGTCTTGCATTCTCAAAGTATTGAGTTATTGTCAACTCGTTCGCAATATCCCTGTTTCCAAAAGCTGGTATTTGACCACTTCTCTTCCAATATTCCTAACAATAACAAACAACAATAACCCATCAATCATTACTCATCATCACCTTTAACAAAACAAAAAAGGGTCACTGAAAATATGCTTACATTCATATTTGGACTCTTGAATCAAAACAAAGAGCTTGCTTTGATTGACATGGAAAGTGATATGTTTCTAGTGTTTTTGTTGTGCCTAACAAAATGGGTGGGGATGAAACTTTTAAAGGAAAAAAAGTAAGGTAGTTCCCAAAAAATCTCAGACAAGGCTATTAATTCCTTGTGCAGAACAGAGAAAGAAAGATAGGTTGCATTGAAGAGACAGAAGCAGAAGAAGAGCAAAAATGGGACCTGGGGAGTGTTCTGCTAAGGCATAAATTTTGTTCCTTTTACCATGAAAAATTCTATACAGACAATTAATTGAATAAAGAAAAAGCTAGTAAGACGAAACTGGTGCAGTAATTCAGCCAATTAAGCATAATCAAGTGCAACCTAATAGTATGTTTCAGAAGTTAAACAAAATAAGAAAGGGACATATGGCAACAATTACTATGAATGAGACACAGACACATTCATATCACAGTTTATAGTTAATAACCCCCTTTATTCTCTTTTTAGCCTCTCTTTTGTCACAAAACAAAGGGTTAACGGCAAATGTAAGATTTTGTCAATTCTTTAAATTTTGTAAATCACTTTAGCACATCATCAAGTTCATTTCTTGTAGCTGGTTTAAATACGAAGGTTAACAGTTGACAAGCCAAACTACAGTAATGCTTGGGCAAATCATTATAATAATACCAAGGACAATTAATGACGAAATGTGTATCGAAAATTTGCAGGAACAATATGGTTACCAAGGACAGTTAACACAACATTGTAATAGAACTCACCATTCTCATGGCATCCCCAAATGGATCCAGTTCTGTGCGGGAATTGATGTGCGAGACTGATATAGGTCAGTTGTGTCGTTCAGACTTCAAAAAGTCGAGTCATTCACGACTCCAAAAAAGTGGCTGCACATAAAAATATAAAAAATATTCAGTTTATGGCTTAGAAAACAGTTAGTATATAACTTTTAATTTTTTCATACCTAAAAGCTAATTAAATCGGGCCAGCCTGCCCAGGAGCAACTGCTCCAAGAACACAAGCAACTTGAAATTCTACAACCATATAAGAAAATTGTAATGAGATGATGCTTAACTTTATCAAATAATTTTTAAAAAGGAGAAAAGGATTAACTATGTACCTGAAACTATTGAATCAGTTATGTCATATTCTTCAAGTAAATCAAGGACTTTTGGATCGTTCTCGTCCGAAGGCATCAACCAATTTTGAGAACAAATAAGCGCCTCAACCATTGCTGGACTCAAAGAGCTCCTATACATGTCTAAAATCCTTCCACCCGTGCTAAAATCACTTTCAGATGCTACACTTGAAACAGGTGTTGCCAAAACATCCCTAACCAAAGTAGCTAATATAGGATAACGAGTTGAATTCTCCTTCCACCATTTAAGAATGTTAAAATTTTCAGCATCAACCCAACATGGATCACCTAAGTACTTCTCTAGTTCATTTCTATTATCAACAATGACTTTATCCTTCAAGTGTTGTTTAAATGCATCAGCCCTTGTAATAAGTGTAGGTTTTCTAGCTTGGGTACTTGTTTCTCCAAGAGAAGTGCTCTCGGATGGTGCATCTAAGAGGGAAGCCTCAACATTCTTACTGTGCTCAGATTTATACCAATTGTATAGTGTAAATAGACTTTTCTTGACACACTCAATACTTTTCTTAGCAATTGGACTACCATCCCCATGCATGTCATTGAAAGACCACTCAACATAACTGAACTTAAACCTAGGGTCAAATATCACTCCAAAAAATAGGAAATGATTCACTTTTTCAACGTCCCCCCAATATTTATCAAATTTGATCTTCATATTTGAAACCATTAGAGCCACATATGTATTCATGTTCAAGGAAGCTTCTTGAAGCTTACACAAAATTTCAGACAAGTTATGAAAGGAAGAATGTAACGACACTTCTTGCGAAGATGAAAACAATTTGGTTGCATCATAGAATGTTTTCAAAAAAATCACAAAAGCCCTAGATTTTTCCCAATCAATAGAACAAGGAGGATCCGAGAGGTTAAAAAATTCCATGTACCCAGGATCCTCATCCTCTAACTTCTCAAATGCTGCCTGAAACTTCTCAGCAGCATCCAACATCAAATATGTGGAATTCCATCGTGTGGAAACATCAAGGCCAAGTTTTCTTTTACATGTTATCCCTACAATTTCAATACACTCCTTAAACTTTAAAGCTCGTTGTGGTGAGGACCTCACAAACCTAACAGCTTCGCGAACACTTTCAATAGCCAATTCATGATCTTTTTGCCCATCTCTCACTACTAAGTTTAAGATATGGGTAGCACACCTCATATGAAAAAAGCTCCCATCACCAACTAAAGCATTCTTGCTTTTAAGTCTTTTTCCCAAATAAGAAACGGCCACATCATTACACGTTGCATTATCAAGGGTAATTGTTGACACTTTTCTAAGCCCCCATTCATTCAAAACATCCTCCACTTTCTTACCAATGGTGTCACCCTTGTGATTTGGAACTAAACTAAAACTGATAATCTTTTTATGATAGTTCCATTCATTGTCAATGAAGTGTGCAGTTATGGCCATGTAACTAAGATTTTGAATTGAAGTCCAACAATCAGTGGTTAGTGCAACCCTAGGACAATCAAATTTAAAGAAGGCTTTAAGTTTCAACTTTTCGGCTAGGTAAAGTTGAAAATAATCCCTAGCAACAGTCCTCCTTAAAGGGATGGTCATTTGTGGTTGTAGTTGTTTGCATAGTCTCTTAAAACCCTCACCCTCTACCACTCTAAATGAATGCTCATCAAGAAGTACAAAGGAAGTAATAGCCTTCCTACATGCTTGAGCATTGAACCTTTGGCTTGTTGAACCTAAAAAACCACCTTCACCACTTACAAGGTTTCTTTGAGTGGGATCTTTCTGTAAAAGGTTAGGGTTTTTGTGACACACTTTTGAGTGAGCTAACATGTTAGATGTTCCATGTGTTTTAGGGTCGCATCGATATATTTTGTGACAATGTTTACACGCAACTATTGGTTCAGGTTCATCCGGCAAAATGTTAAAGTCTAACCAAACGGTGGAAGTTTTCCTAGATCCACTAGCATTAACTAGTCTTTTTATCCTAGAAGGGGGGAGAGGAGGAAGTGCGGTTTCTACTGCTTGTGTAGGTTCAACATAGGGAACAGGATGTTCCATCATTGAAAATATTTTGGTCAACAAAAACACTTAGTCCTATATGAATAATCTAAAACAGTTACTTACATGAACAATTTAAATGTTAGACTAAAAAAGATCATGTAAGACAAGACAATACCTGCAACTGCAAGACAAGACCATGCACCAGGATACTTAACATACACTAAAGGTTGACAATACCTGCAAGACAAGACCATGCATCAGGATACTACATAGATCAATGCAACTACTGGATTTTCTCAAAGGGAGAAAATGGCTACCATACTCAAGCAACATGCCTAATCTGTGAATGAAAAATGAAATACAAAAGCAGAGTGCAAGTCTTTTACTAAGTATTCTTTAAAACGAATTAATTCTCTTCATCCCTAAAAACATGCACATAAGAACCTAAAAACATATAGCAACTTATTAAGCTAGAATCTTACCTAACATGCACATACAACAACTACTAAATGAAAATAAAAGAGATTCAAAAATTTCAAGTCTCCTATGCCTAAATTCTTATGTCCATCACCAAGTCTACAATGTTACAAGCCTTTCCATGACATTTTATAAAGCCCATCTAACATTCAAATAATCATCAAAATGACTTAAACATTGCAAAACAAGGGGAATCAGTGGGCTAAATGAAGCATTTTCGGATTGGGCTTTTGACAGAAAATTGCAAGGTTTGTTTGAATCAATATTTCAACACAAGCAGAAATTTCTAACCACATAATCCTTAGTCTCTATAAAAGCATTCATTCTGACACAGATTCAGAGGATTCATTCACTGACAAATTCAGACAAACTCAGAGCAAATAGAAATACTAAATTCCCACTCATATCACTACAAGACAATAATATTATTGTGAATTCAATATAGTAAGGAAATATTAGGCTATATTTTGTTGCAAATCCCATGAGTATCAGAAATATTTTTAATAGTTTTATAGAAAGGATTGAGGAAAGATAACAAATGAATACATGATATTATATTCAATAATATGTCAAAGAGGATAGCTCTTGTTAGAAAAGTTATTATATATAACACAGATATTTCTACTGTAATACTAGTCTATTCATTCCCTGCAATTTCAAACATTTAAATTTTTTGACTATAGGACAAATATAAGTTACTGTATGTGATTAAAACAAGTGTTCACATGCATTGAAAGATGGAGAAAAAACACATTAAAAAAAGTGACTAATTAATTAATGCAATATAAAGATATAATAACTCCTTCCTTTTTATTAAGGTTGACAACAGGTGAGCCCTGCCTGCATAATTAGTGAGTAATAGATTTTAGCTTATTTTTTCACTTATTATTACACATTCAAGTTCCAGTCATGTTATCATTCAAGTTCCAGTCACTTATTATTAAGGTTGACAAATGGATTTTGGCCTTTTCCTCAAGGTAGATGTGATGAGAAAATCATTTATGATACGCTGTTTCTATATCTTCATTTTCAGTTGATTTCATTTTGTTTTTGTTTTTTACTCTTTCTGTTTCCCAATGTTGGTATTGTAATTCACAGTCAAATAAAATAACCAACCAGAAAATCAATCATTACTGAGCATATAAAACAATGTCAAGAAATGAAGGCAAATTAGTTATATAAAATAGAGCTTATCAACTAAGGAAAGTGGCCTTCTAGTTTCTTTGGGAACATATTTGTTTAGAAGATGAACAAATCAAAACAAGCAAGCATTAAAAGGGATAACAACAACATCGCAGAACACACCATCAAATCATGTTACAGCATACCCAAATCTCGTCACAGAAAACAACAATCCTCTAAATCCATTCAGCAAGATACACACAAGAAAAGAAAAAT